ATATATGTGTATATTTTTAAACTGGATGAGACGGTATGTATATTCTCAAGGCTCTTTTCCCACAAGTCATCTGAAATTGGTTCACCAAACTCTTCTTCCCACTTATGCTTATAGTTTTCAGATGAGGGGGAGCTCATTGATAAGAGAGTAGTATAGATATGAGATATCAACTTACTTTCATATGGGGATAGTTTTAGATACTCATCTATTTTTGATAGTGTTACAGTTTCAAACCCTTTTAAGTCTTTCCGTATATAATCTCTATCTCCAGCTTATATTTCCTCTGTAGTTGTGTGAATGAAGCAAAGACTCAAAGGTCTCCAACACAGTGGATGCCCTTTACGCTCCACATATGGAAGGCTCCATCAAGATTAGAGGGAGCGAAAGGAGGGGTTCTTAGCAATAGGAAGTGCAAGGGATATAAAATTTAAGATTAGACTTGATTTGCTTCCAGGTACTAATCATGTTGTGTATGATGGGGTTATTATTATAAATGTATTTATTAGTCTTAGTTGGAGCTAGTAGGATGGAACCTATGGAGTACGGGTAGCAGTCTTCCTGCTCCAACTTTAGCCAATCAGACGATGGTATCGATACATCTAACCAAAAGGTAAACGTCTTTATCACTGAAGCCCAATAGTAGAACAAGAATTTGGGAGTGCTAATCCTCCTTCAAGCTTTGGTTTACAGAGATGTATTTTACCTATTCTGTGGGCTTTGTGTCCCCACAGAAGGCTGTCTGTCATTTTGACGGATTAGAATCACCGGGTATCCACCGGTCGTCCACCGGTCCTTTCTAATTCTCACACAGCACTGTCATTAAACACATGTAAAGCACTTGCAGTCCAGTTGGTGGCAAGTGTGCATAATTAATGAGTTGTTTTCTTCTGTAGCAGGCTATCTGACCTCACGTGCATGACATCGTTGTCTAGCCAGTGTTGCAAACAGGGATTCTTTCTCTATCTGGCGACTTTTTATATCAAAAGCTACTAGCGACAAATCTAGGGACTTTTTCTGGTGTTGTTGGAGACTTATCTGGTGTTTTGGAGACTGTGACATGAAAGCACGTATAGCTCTGCAGTTACTGTCCTCAACGAGCAGCAGGTGCTGCCGTGAGCCCCCTCCCCCGTCACAGAGAATTCACAGGCGGTCAGTCTCACAGTAGCCTCGCGCAGCAGAGTTGTAGCTCTATGTTATTCTTGTCGCTGCCTTCTCATTGTCTGTTCCGGGCACATATGTTAAAATGACAGTAATTTGTCCAAATTCCCTAGAGAATAAAAAGGCCTGAAGTTCATAATCAGGGGTGCACATTTGCTCGTGTATATGGAATTGTGTGGCCCATCTGTCATCTACAAAAATACATAGTCCACCTCCTATTGATTTATGTGACGTAAATTCATCCCTGTCAGCTCTTATCGTGGTGTATCCCCTTAAAGCAACATTTGAGTCCTCTTTAACCCATGTTTCTGTCAGGCATATCAGATTGCTTCGTCTGAAGTTGCTGTCGTAGTTGACTTTTGCCGTTAGTTCCTCAAATTTGTTATTTAGTGACCGTACATTGGACAGCGTAATCACCTGCAGGGGAGGTCGGCCGCCGAGTCTTCGGAGTCTTGCTTTGATGCCTCCTCTTGATCCTCGTTTCTTAATTTTAGTTTTATGTCCTGCTGTTGTCGGGGGATCTTTAATAGCTTTTGATTCTTTGCCAGTCTGGAGCAGTCATTGGGTAGATTTAGAAACAGGTCACTGATTCTTGCGTGATGTTGAAGAGACAACAGGTGCTCCCGGCTGTAAGTGATCAGGCCATTGTTTGCATCTAGTCCCAAAAGTTTCTGGAACCAAAAGGACTACAAGCCAAATAATCACCTGTAGTGTGGGGCCCCCCATCTCCAAGCAGTTCAGTAAGATTACCAAAGCTTACTATGAGAAAATACACGAAAAAAAACGATAAGTCTACTTTGAGAAATCACATGGCAAATCACAGAGGGGAGAAACCTGTCAGTTGCTCTATTTGCAGTAAAGCATTTCAACAAAAAGGAGCCCTTACCCAACACATTAGTTCATACAGGAGAGAAACCTTTCAGCTGCCTTGAGTGTGGTAAGAGATGGAATCATAAAGGGTCTCTGACCAGACACAAGAGTTCACACCAGAGAAAAACCTTTCAGCTGCTCTCAATGTGAAAAGAGATATATCGATAAGCCTAGTTCGAATTATCACAGGGCAACTCACAGAGAGGAGAAACCATTCAGCTGCCTTGAGTGTGGTAAAAGGTTTAACCTGCAAGGAAGTCTGACCAAACACATGATGATTCACACAGGAGAAAAACCCTTCAGCTGCTCTGAGTGTGGTAAAACGTTTAACCAAAAAGGCCATCTGACCACACACATGTTAGTTCATACTGGAGAGAAACTCTTCATTTGCTCTGAGTGTGGTAAAAGATTTAACAGAAAAAAGCATCTGACCACACACATGATGATTCACACGGGAGAGAAAACATTCAGTTGTTCTATTTGCAGTAAAGCATTTCAACAAAAACGAGCCCCGACCCAACACATGATGATTCACACAGGAGAGAAACGCTTCAGCTGCTCTCAGTGTGAGAAAAGATTTACCCATAAGGCCAGTCTGACATATCACATGGCCAATCACAGAATGTGGAATACGATTTAGCCGAAAAGAAAATCTGAAGAGACACAATAAAGTTCACAGAAAGGAGAAAGCAAATAAAGTCTAATTTAAAACTTCACATGTACCCCACCTTGGCAAGCTGCCCAGGTATATTTTCCACATCTACCATCAGAATTTAAAACAAACTAGAAGATAATTGATCGCCGTTGCTCTGTACCCCTTGCATACATGTCGCAGGTCTGGACACTCTGTAGGTAACCAGAGAGGGAAGAAAGACAGGGATCTCCACTGTGAAGTCTCTTTGAATGGCAAGCTCTATCCATGCTTATTTATTGAACTCACCTTTCAGCACTTCGATCTGGATGCAACAGCCTCTATCACTGTGATTTGTCTTGTATGTTGTCAGTGCATTTCAGTCAGTCTCCTGGTGTGTTTTGTGGTAGATCAATGACTTTCCACCACAACGTTGCACGGGGTGCAAAAAAGTTTACCCCTGCTTCCAGGAACATCGGGGAATTACCTTGCACGGTCCTTAGCTGTAGTTTTTGTAGGTAAATGTGCGACGTTTGTGTCGGACATGTCTCCACAAAAAATGTCTCATCCAAGGGAAAACAGGAAAAAGTTACAGAACCACTGCCTTCAAAAGACATGGGCAGAAGAAAATAAGAATACCTTCTTATGATCACAGGAAATGTTTCACCTGAAACTAATTTTTTCTGCTAACTTTCCCTTAGGGGCTCCGCTTCTTTATGAAGTAAAAAATCAAAATCTCCAACATGAGAATAAAGGGGAGGTTTGAGCAGACTCTGCCAATGACTTTCCTTAAAAGATCTGGCGCTGAACCATCTTGTTCAGTTGTCTTTTTGTTCGCATTCTTCTTGGTTTTCAGTCTCTTGTTTGTCTCCATTCTGTCTTGTGTCTAATGTCTTGTCATTTTGTCTTTTACGGATGAACTCTCCTTTTCTCTATGTTTGACCTACTGATTCTTCTTCTCTAAACCGTTATCTTTTGTGATATATATCTTCACTATCAGTTTTGATGCAGCGAACCAAAACTCTTGTCTGTCAGAAACAGTGACAATACCTACGTATTTAATGATATTATTGATGACGATGGTTTTGCCCTTTGTGTCCCATCAGACTTAAAACTGTTTGTTTGCACTTACTGAAGTTGTTTTCTCCTTTCTAAATCATTGCTTGTGTTGTATTTACTCTCTGATGTGTACGTATGTATGGACTACAGTATTAACAGCCACATGAGAAGTCCTACAGGAGAGAGACCAGACCACAGTGTGTCCAGAGAAGCAACAAAGTGTTGAACCATTCAGATCTAAAAGAATCCAAGTTAACAACATCAATGTGTATTCATCAGTATGTATTGACTAACAGATGTATAACTGCTGTTTTAAAGAGATATAAGACAATTCTATTCACAGAAAGCTGTCTCTACTTTTTTGACATTGATGTTTTGTTGCTGACATATGAACCAGTAAGTTGGGCGCAGCTATGATGTTTGAATGTAAAGGGTTTATATGAAACAGTTACAGTGTAAGGATCCTTCTTCTTTCTGTCACTCTGTTTCCTTGGAGGCCTCAGTGTTGGGTAGCACAAGTTCTTTAGACAGCTCATGTGTAACCTTGTAATAAATAAACTGATGTAGAGGGAGAAAGACTTTCATCTACTTGTGTTATTTTATGTCGAGTGTCTAAGGTCGGTTGGTAAAGAAAAGGAGTTCAGCAGATCCTGATGCAGAGTGACCACAGTCAATCAGGTCCAGGTTGATTTCACTGAAAATCCGTGTCTGACACCTTAAGCCCCTGGGCCATGACACAAGAATTCAGTTACAGACGGACTGAGCATGCGCGACGTGAGAGGTCGGATGAGCTAGAGCCTCCGGTAACGTGTTGAGCAATGGCTGAATAACTTTTTGTAAAGTTTAAATTTGAAGAAATGAATCCCTTAGAACCAGCAAAGGAAAAGCTAATGCTGTAATCTTGGATTATGACTCACGAATATTAAGACAGACAGTCCCTGTAGGTTAATCATTTGACGCCTCATGTTCACACGGTCACAGGACGACATGCCGACTGGAGCAAGCGCAAGATTTGATGACCTGGAGAGCAAGCTGGATAAACTCCTAAATCTCCAAACAGCCACAAATACACTTTTTTCATCTGTGAAAGCAGTTACTTTTAATGCAAATAAGAAAAGTTTTAAGATTGATGACGAGTCAGGTTATTGTGGGAATTGGATAGCACCAAGACCAATCGAAGAATCATTTTCCTCTTAGCAGAAAATGTATAAAAAGCAGTGAAGCAGGGAAAAAGGAACCAAAGAGAGAAATGATAACAGAACAAATATACACACCATTGAAGTGTTTTTTCCATATACCATTTATTATTTATTTCCAACAAAACATCAATGTCAAAAGTAGAAACAGGTTATGTTAATGTCGTATATTCCTTATAACTGCAGTTATGCATCTGTTAGTCAATACATACTTATGAGTGATGTTGATAACTTGGATTCTTTTGGATCACTTTTACCATTGCACAGGAGTTTTAAATCTAGGGATGGGTACGAATTCTTGACAGCAATATTTATCAATACTGCTTTCCATTTCATTATGTAAAAAAAAAGAAATGACATGAAAGATATTAAATGGTTCGACACTTTGATGTGTATGTATGTATGGACTACTGGACTGCTAGTGAGTCCTCAGTATTAACAGCCACATGAGAAGTCATACAGGAGAGAGACCAGACCACAGTGTGTCCAGAGAAGCAACAGAGAGTAAGTACAACACAAGCAATGATCTAGAAAGGAGGAAACAGTCAGTAAGTGCAAACAAACAGCTTTAAATCTGATGGGACAGGGTGCTGACAGCCAATGCACAGAGGCAAAACCATCGTCATCATCCTCATTATCGTCATTAATAATATCATTAAATACGTAGCTATTGTCACTGTTTCTGACAGACAAGAGTTTTGGTTCGCTGCATCAAAACTGATAGTGAAGGCTCGGATGGATCTATCAAAATAAACTTAGACAGGACACGATAAAAGTAGACAGGAGATAACGGTTTAGAGAAGAAGAATCAGTAGGTCAAACATAGAGAAAAGGAGAGTTCATCCGTAAAATATAAAATGACAAGACATAAGACAGAATGGAGAGACTGAAAACCAAGAAGAACACGAACAAAAAGACAACTGAACAAGATGGTTCAGCGCCAGATGTTTTAAGGAAAGTCATTGGCAGAGTCTGCTCAGACCTCCCCTTTATTCTCATGTTGGAGATTTTGATTTTTTACTTCATAAAGAAGCGGAGCCCCTAAGGGAAAGTTAGCAGAAAAAAATAGTTTCAGGTGCACACCAGAAACCAAGAAACATTTCCTATGATCATAAGAAGGTATTCTTATTTTCTTCTGCCCATGTCTTTTGAAGGCAGTGGTTCTGTAACTTTTTCCTGTTTTCCCTTGGATGAGACATTTTTTGTGGAGACATGTCCGACACAAACGTCGCACATTTACCTACAAAAACTACAGCTAAGGACCGTGCAAGGTAATTCCCTGATGTTCCTGGAAGCAGGGGAAAACTTTTTTGCACCCCGTGCAACATTGTAGTGGAAAGTCATTGATCTACCACAAAACACACCAGGAGAATGACTGAAATGCACAATCACAGTGACAGAGGCTGCTACATCCAGATTGAAGTGCTGAAAGGCGAGTTCAATAAATAAGCATGGATAGAGCTTGTCTGATTGTCAAACAAACGGTGTGTGTGTATTAATTTAAGTAGTTAGGAACACACAGTCATAAAATGTGTTTTAAAAGTTTAAGGCAAAATATTAATTTGGATGTGTAATAAAATCAGATGAAGAGGGTGTGTGTTTGTGTTTGTGTGTGTGTGAATGAGTGAGTGAGTGAGTGAGTGTCACTGAGTGAGGCAGAGGAATATGTAACTTCACAAAGCGAATGGCTCTGCTCAGGTTAAACATATAGGCATCACTCAATCACATTAAAGCCTGTGTAGGAAAATAATAAAAAGTCTCCATTTTTTTTTTAACATTAAAAAATAGCAACTAGTGTTGCAATTTTCGCTTCCCGGCGCAATTTAATTGCAAAAAAACATCTAAAAACATCGCAACTTGCATTGCAATTTTATTGAAAAGCTGCTACAAAATCGGGCATTTTAGGCTGCAACAATCCCCCAAAAAGTCCACAAAATCCTGGAGGGACTAAACTCACAATACGATACGATTCACGATACGATTCTCATGATTCATTTTACAAAATGAGACTGTAGAAAAATGATGACTGAAATAGATTCCTTTAGGGGCTGCTAACCCGCTTTTCAGTGTGGTATGGCCTGTTAATGTTTGTTTTCTCTCAACAAGGGGAGGTGATGGCAGCTTCTCATTGTGGTGTCGATGAAATGCTGCATCATGTTGGTTATGCTATTTGTGCAGTTCCCTGTCTTCTTGTAATATTGTTTTTGTCTCGTCTGTTATCTTCTCACCTCTTTCATTTTCTGTCTTGGGGAATCCAAAATGCTTCCACACCTCTGATTTACAAGACGGTGGTGCATCCTTAAAGTCAGATTCTTCCTCTCTAGCTGCCAACCGCCTCTGCTCTGCAGCTGCTGACCCCCCCCCCTTATTATTGTGGTTCAGTTTTCAGAGTACCGATGTGAATCTTAACACATCTGAATCATTTTTTACATCAGCAGCAAGGGGTACAAAGCGACGGCGATCAATTATCTACTAGTTTGTTTTCAATGCTGAAAGGTAAAGGCAGAAAAGATACCTGGGCAGCCTACCAAAGCGGGGTGCATGTAAGGTGTCAGATTAGACTTTTTTTGTTTTCTCCCTTGTGTGAACTTTATTGTGTCTCTTCAGATTCCCCTTTCTTCCAAATCGTATTCCACATTCAGAGCAGCTGAAGGGTTTTTCTCCCGTATGCGTAATCATGTGTCGAGTCAGATTTCCTTGCAGGTCAAATGTTTTACCACACTCAAGGCAGCTGAATAGATTCTCCCCACTGTGATTGGCCATGTGATTTGTCAGACTGGCCTTATGGGTAAATTTTTTCTCACACTCAGAGCAGCTGAAGGCTTTTTCTCCAGTGTGAACTAACATGTGTTGGGTTAGGGCTCGTTTTTGTTGAAATGCTTTACTGCAAATAGAGCAGCTGAAGGGTTTCTCTCCTGTGTGAATCATCATGTGTGTGGTCAAATGCTCTTTTCTGTTAAATCTTTTACCACACTCAGAGCAACTGAAGGGTTTTTCTCCCGTATGAGTAATCATGTGTATAGTCAGATTTCCTTGCAGGTAAAATCTTTTACCACACTCAAGGCAACTGAAGGGTTTTTCCCCTCTGTGATATTTCATGTGATATGTCAGACTGGCCTTATGGGTAAATGTTTTCTCACACTGAGAGCAGCTGTAGCGTTTTTCTCCAGTGTGAACCAACATGTGTTGGGTTAGGGCTCGTTTTTGTTGAAATGCTTTACTGCAAATAGAGCAGCTGAAGGGTTTCTCTCCTGTGTGAATCATCATGTGTGTGGTCAGATGCTCTTTTCTGTTAAATCGTTTACCACACTCAGGGCAACTGAAGGGTCTCTCTCCTGTATGAACTAACATGTGTGTGGTCAGATGGCCTTTCTGGTTAAAACTTTTACCACACTCAGAGCAACTGAACGGTTTTTCTCCTGTATGAGTAATCATGTGTGTAGTCATATTTACTTGCAGATAAAATCTTTTACCACACTCAAGACAGCTGAATGGTTTCTCCCCTCTGTGAGTTGCCATGTGATACTTCAAACTAGACCTATCAGTGAATCTTTTCTCACATTGAGAGCAGCTAAAAGGTTTTTCTCCAGTGTGAACTAACATGTGTCTGGTCAGAGACCCTTTTTGTTTAAATCTCTTTCCGCACTGAAGGCAGCGGAAGACTTTCTCTCCTTTATGAACTAACATGTGTTGGGTAAGGGCTCCTTTTTGTTGGAATACTTCACTGCAAATAGAGCAACTAACAGGTTTCTCCCCTCTGTGATTTTCCATGTGATATCTCAAAGTAGACTTATCGGTAAATCTTGTCTGACACTGAGAGCAGCTGAAGGGTTTTTCTCCTGTATGAACTAATATGTGTCTGGTTAGATGCTGTTTTCGGTTAAATCTTTTTCTGCACTCAGGGCAGCTGAAGGGTTTCTCTCCTGAATGAACTAACATGTGTCTGGTCAGATGCTCTTTTCGGTTAAATCTTTTATCGCACGCCGAGCACCTATGTGGTCTCTTACCAGTCAGTTTCTTATTTTTCAAGTTTAATTCTGACAGATCTTCTCTTGTCTCTTGCCAATCATCACTGTCATTCTCAGGTTCATCAGAGTCTTCAATCTTGACCTCAATCTCTGGTTGTAAACATCTCTCTGGATCTGAGTCTCTCTCTGGTTCTGCTCCGCCACAGTCCTCTCCATCAACTCCTGTTTCCATCTCTTCAGTTTGTCTCTGATGAAGCTGTGAGGACTGAGGTTTCTCTTCATCATCTTCACTCTTCACAGAGACAGGAGTGAAGGGGAACTTGGTGGTATCAGCCTCCTCCAGTCCTTGAAGCTGTTCTTCCTCCTGACTGCTCCACAGTTCCTCATGTTCTTCTTTAATGTGTTGGGGCTTAGTGTCCTGCTGGTCCAGAATGTGGCTCCACTCCTGCTGCTCAGGTGGAAGTTCTTCTTTACTCACCAACAGCTGCTGGACATCTGCAGGACACAGTAAACAAACATTAACGGTACTTGGACTGATATTTAATATTTATAAAGCCTTACAAATTATTTCATTTTTAATGGCTGAAGATCGAGTTAGAATAGAAGAATAGTTAATTGGAATTGATCACATTTTAATCATGTTTGAAATTCACTTATTTTGAATTAAAAAAAGTTTGTAATGCTATTATTTTGTAATTTTGTCTTTAGCTTAGGTTACTTTAGTTCCTTTTTGGATACACACCTACCTTTATTTTTGAAAGAAAACAAGGGACTTGTGGTAGACTGAAGATACTATATTAAAGCCAGAATATGTAACTTTTCAGTTTTGGTGCTCTTTGGCGCCAACAGCAAGTCTCTGACTGCAACTGCACTGTCATAAAACTATTACAACTACCACTCTGAAACAACGTGCATTTGTTGACAAGCAGAGGGTGAGGAAGCTGGCACAGACGCCATGAGAAGATAAAGAACCATGTAGACTCGAAACTTTTGCTGAATGCAGTAGTGCTGTAAAGCGGTACGTACTCCTCGCGAGAGTGGTCGAAAGTTACATGTGTGGTATTCAGGCCAGCGAGCCGATCTGCAGACATCGGAGAGATACCATTCTCTCCGCTGAAAACGGTTGCCCTCTTAGATCGACTTTGAAACAACATAAACTACAGGTGGAAAGTTACATATTGGGGCTTTAACTTAACCACGGAAAAAAGGAACTTGTTAAAGTAAATGAAACCAGCCGAAGAGGTTGTGTAAAAAAAAGTGAGGGCGTCGGTAGCCTAAGGCTGTGAGGACTGAGGTTTCTCCTCATCATCAAGTCCTGAGAGCGGGCAGACCGGGTTAAAATCCGACCTGTGGCTCCTTTCCCACAAGTCATTTCCCATTTTCCGTCCTTGGTTTCTGATTCTGTCCTATCTCTAAAATAAAGGCATACAAAAGCCCATAAATATATCAACAAAAAGTGAAATGTTTGATGTCACAGGAGGGATATTACTTCACTGTTCTTTTCCATCACTGCAGCAACTGTCATTAAAAAACTTGCATTCATTTCAGACTTAATCTCACTGTGATTAACTCGTTAACGTTTAAAGCCCTACTTTTAATGTTTTAATTGACATGCTCAAGAAAATCATGATAAGTTAATGCTGAATGTCTATCCTGCCCTGTGTACTTTTTGACATGGATGATGTCATTTTAATTCTGATGAAGAAAATTAATGGATTATCTGTTACGATAGTTGGGAGAGAGATTGCTGTTGGGCGAGCTGAGCTATAGTGAAGCTGACGCACTGCGCTGTCAATGAGGTTGAAACAGTGTGTTTTCAAATGAATTTAGAGAATATCAGCCCCACAGGAACCTCCTCACCTTTCTACCTTGGTTTCTAGGATTTTTCTATCTCACTTTGAAATGCTTCTACGGCTATGAAATGAGTAGTAACTCTCTGAGCAGAAGCAGTGTCAGTCACAGTGGATGAGATCAATGAAGGAAAGGTGGACATCCTTCACAAGTTGTCTGGCTTTTACCTGGGTGAAAGTTGACTTCCTGTCTTTCACTTGTTGTCCCCTCTGTCAACAGAACCCTCTGATCCATCTGATGTTGAGTTAAGTAACATGACGTGCCGCAAGTTTAACAAACAAGGACAGATCGGGACAGATCCAGATTCTTTGAGTCTGGTCCTGACTTATGCATCTTTACAAACACTTTTTTCAAAATAAAAGCCCGGCAAAAGACTAGATAGATAGATAGCAATATCATTTCACCTGTATTAAATTCCACATAAAAGCAATGTCTTCATATGTTACTGAAATGATTTGCAAACCTATCAAGACATTGATTTTATGTGCAATTTAAAACACGGAAAATCACATTGCAGTCTATCTACCTAAATATCTATCTATCTAGTCTGGCGCTCCCCTGTGGGCGACATAGCGGAGCTCTCCGAGTTAAGTTTTACGTAGTTTTCGTGTTATTGTTTTCTTTTCTTTCGTTTAATGTGCGGTACGTTAGGGCTAGTGTCAAGTATGATCGGGCGACACTGATACAGCTTGGTGACATGAGTCACAAAGGACATTTTAACGCCAAACTGCTCGACTCCTTCCCAGAGCTACACCTTCATGCCGGAACAACGCAGGGCCAGGCCTCATCCGGGGGTTTGCCTGGCACCGCAAGACCGACACGGAGGCGAGGCAGGCGGGGAGGCGTTGAGCGAAGACTCCAACACCTGGTTAGCAAGGGTAGGCTAACCCTCCCGGTTATAATTCTCACCAACGTCCAGTCTCTTGGAAATAAAGTGGACGACCTTCTCAGTAGGATGGCTACACAGAGGTACACTCAGGACTGCTCTGTGCTGTGTTTCTGTGAAACGTGGCTCGGAGACAGGACTCCTGATGAAGCCATAACATCGGCAGGCTACACGCTCTTCAGAATCAGAATCGGGGGTTTATTGCCAAGTACATTTACACATAAAAGGAATTTGACTTGGTGTATTGGTGCTAAACAATTAACAGGGAAATAAAGCAGAACTAGCAACAACTCCTCCAAGAGGACGTGGTGGAGGAGTTTGCGTGTCACAGTGAACCCGGGAGTTGTGTTGAAGCGGCATACATTGAAGCAAGCCACCTCGCCTGGAAGAGGGAAACCGGGGCACCACCCTGGAGGCAGACCCGGGGGGGAGCTCGAAGGCGAGCGTCTGGTGGCCGGGCTTTCCTCCATGGGGCCCAGTCGGGCTCAGCCCGAAAACAACCACATGGAGCCGCAGCCCTGTAGGCCCACCACCCACAGGGAGAGGCATGGGGGAAGGGTGCATGCAGAGCCGGGTGGCAGGCGTAGGCGGAGGCCTGGGCATTCTGATTCCCGGCAGCGCAGACTGGCTCTAGGGACGTGGAACGTCACCTCTCTGGCGGGGAAGGAGCCGGAGCTGGTGCGGAAGGTGGAGTGCTACCAGCTAGACATAGCTGGGCTTGCCTCTACGCACAGCGTCAGTTCTGGAACCAAACTCCTGGAGAGGGGCTGGACTCTCTCTTTTTCTGGAGTTGCCCAGGGTGAGAGACTCTGGGCGGGTGTGGGGATACTCACAAGCTGAGTGCCGCTGTGTTGGGGTTTTCCCTGGTGAACGAGAGGAACTTCAGGTTGCAGAGAGGAAGGCTCTGACTGTTGTATGTGTATATGCACCTAACAGCAGCTCAGAGTACACGGCCTTCTTTGAGTCTTTCGGTGGGGTCCTGGAAGGGGTTCCGGCTGAGGACTCTGTAGTTCTACTGGGGGACTTCAACGTTCACGTGGGCAACGACAGGAACACCTGGAGGGGAGTGATTGGGAGGAACGGCCTTCCCGATCTGAACCCGAGTGGTGTTTTGTTGTTGGACTTCTGTGCTAGTCATGGATTGGCCATTACAAACACCATGTTCGAACATAGGGATGTTCGTAAGTGTACCTGGTACCAGAGCACCCTAGGCCAAAGATTGAGGATCGACTTTGTAGTTGCTTCGTCAGATTTGCGGCCGCATGTTTTGGACACTCGGGTAAAGAGAGGAACTGATCACCACCTGGTGGTGAGTTGGATCGGATGGCAGGGAAGGCTGCCGGACAGACCTGGCAAACCCAAATGTGTAGTGTGGGTGAACTGGGAACGTCTGGCAGAGGCCCCTGTCCGTGGGGTCTTCAACTCCCACCTCCGGAAGAACTTCTCCCTCATCCCAGGGGAGGTTGGGGACATGGAGTCCGAGTGGTCCATGTTCAAAGCTAGTGGTGGGCGATATAACGATATTAGATCGTGAAGGATTTTAACATGCTGACGATCTGCCAAAGCAGAGAGATAACCAGGCTAATGTGTTTATTCTATCATGCTGCAGTTTATGCTCCGACACAGACGCGTCTCCCCTTCTGCTCCGCCGCGATGAAAACAAAAACAAAACTTAAAGTCCGCAAAAACCACTCCATACGATATTTCCACTGATATTTTTCCAAACCGACACGCCGTGAGCAACAGTTAACTTATCTGCATAGTTTGCACAGTTAAGTTTACATCTCGGATAGCGAAACCGTTATATGAGCCGGAGAGACGTAAACAGTCTGCAGAGAGACAGACAGAGCGGAGCTCAGACAGTCAGTGATGGGAGATATAACCCCGGTGTTTAAAATCTTGCTGTCTGTGTTTTCTGCTCTCTCTCAGTTTTTAAAAGTTACTATCAAGCCTCTCCACCCGAAGCTCACCTGTTGTGATTACCGAATCTATAGGGATTACACTAAACGACGTTACAAAGCAGCAGGCAGGTGAGCGTGAGTAACCATGGTGACTGTCTGTCTGTCAATCAACAATGTCCCGCCCCCTCTATGAATTAAACTCTTCTGTCAGTAAAACTTTAATCATGTGTCACAGAATGAACACATTCTGTATTATGTACCCATAAACTAAACTAAATGATGTCATAAAAAACAACAAAGGCTGCAGAGCCTGTATGAAGCTACAGCTGTATGAACTCTGCAGGGCTAAATAGAACAGAAAAACAAGAAGGAGGGCAGTGGCTTCAGTGGTTGCGGAAGCAAAAACCTGGGTGTGGGAGGAGTTCGGGAGGCTTTGGAGAAGGACTTTTGGTTGGCCTCAAGGAGGTTCTGGCAAACCGTCCGATGGCTCGGGAAGGGAAAGCAGGGCTTTCTCCAGACTGTTATCAGCAGGGTGGAGAACTGCTGACCCGAACTGGGGACATTGTTGGGCGGAGGAAGGAATACTTTGAGGAACTCCTGAACCCAGACAAGGAGGAGGCAGAGTCTGAAGATTCAGGGGAAGCCTTACCACTAACCTTGGCAGAGGTCACTGAGGCAGTTAGAAAGCTCCTCAGTGGCAAGGTGCCAGGTGTGGATGAGATTCGCTCTGAGATGCTAAAGGCTTTGGACATTGTTGGGCTGTCTTGGCTGGTACGCCTTTTCAGTGTCACATGGAAATCTGGGACAGTGACTGTTGAGTGACAGACCGGTGTGGTGGTTCCCATTTTCAAATGGGGGGACCGGAGCGTGTTATTGGGGTATCACACTTCTCAGCCTTCCAGGGAAAGCTTACTCTAGGGTACTGGAAAGGAGGCTCCGGCCGATTGTTGAACCTCGGACAATGTGGGTTCCGGCTGTGGGACAGTGGACCAGCTCTTTACCCTCGCAGGGCTTCTTGGGGGAGCATGGGAATTTGCTCATCCAGTCTACATGTGTTTTGTGGATTTGGAGAAGGCTTTTGGCTGTGTCCCTCGGGGGATCATGTGAGGGGTACTGCGGGAATATGGGGCCCCGGGGCCGTTGGTACAAGCCATCCGATCCCTGTATGACCAAAGTGGGAGCTGTGTCCGCATCCTTGGCACAAAGTCAGACACGTTCCCAGTGCGTGTTGGCCTCCGCCAGGGTTGCCCCTTGTCACCGGTCCTGTTTGTGATCTTCATGGACAGGATCTCAAGGAGAAGCCGGGGGGAGGAGTGTTTCCAGTTTGGGGACCTCAAAATCTCGTCTCTGCTTTTTGCAGATAACGTGGTTTTGTTGGCTTCCTCAAGCTGGGACCTCCAGCAGGCATTGGGGCGGTTTGCAGCAGAGTGCGAAGCAGCTGGGATGATGGTTTGCACCTCCAAGTCTGAGGCCATGGTTCTCTGCCGGAAAAAGGTGGATTGCTCTCTCCGGATGGGGAGTGAGTCCTTGCCCCAAGTGGAGGAGTTCAAGTATCTCGGGGTCTTATTCACGAGTGAGGGTAGGATGGAGCGTGAGATTGACAGACGGATTGGCTTGGCGTCAGCAGTAATGCAGGCGTTGTGCCGGACCGTTGTGGCGAAGAGGGAGCTGAGCCTGAAGGCAAAGTTCTCGATTTACCGGTCGATCTACATTCAAACCCTCACCTATGGTCATGAGCTATGGGTAGTGACCGAAAGAATGAGATCGCGGTTAAGGGCGGTTGAGGGCGTTAATGTAACTCTTCAGAGGCTACGGACTGCTGAAAGACCCGCGGACGAGGGACAGCGATTCAAAAAGTCCTGGAGCACCAACAACACGGTAATATCGCAGTTTGAAGACGTGGAGTTTATTACCGTAAAGTGCACCAAAAGTCTGACCACCTAGCAGTCTTGCTACGGCCTACTTACACCACAAAGCTGAAAGCAAACCCAGTCACAGTAAGAACTGTGAAGATGTGGACTGAAAGTGCACTGGCAGAACTGTAGGGCTGCTTAGAGGACACAGACATGAATATTTTTAAGGAAGCCACAACAAACATTGATGAGTACACGGACACCGTAAGCAGCTATATAGATTGGTGCACCTCTGCTTGTATTCCCTCCCGGACCATTTGTGTGTTTCCTAATAAAAAGCCCTGGCTCAATGCAGACATGTGCATGCAGATCAGGAGCCGGTGTGCAGCTTTTCAAGTCAGGGGACACCGTGGAGTACAAGCAGGCTCGGTACAAGCAACAAAAGTCCATCAGAGCTGCCAAAAGAACATACTCCCAAAAACATGAAAGCTGCTACATGGACAACAACACGAGGAGTATGTGGCAGGGAAGTCCATCTCCAACTACAGAAGTAACTCAAACAGAGTCAAAGTTTGTGACTCCATCCTACCAGACACACTGAACAGTCTTTATGGCAGATTCGACAGACAGAACAGCAACACCCCTATATAAGTCCCCCCATAACCCAGAGGAGACCGCACTACAAGTAAAACACACACAGGTCCTTTGGGCTCTGAAGAAGGTGAACCCCCACAAGGCTGCAGGCCCTAATGGGGGGGGCACCAAGAGTCCTAAAAGCCTGTGCTGAACAATTGGCAGAGGTGTACACAGACATCTTCAACACCTCTCTCATGCAGGAAACCGTCCCACGCACCTTTAAATCATCTGTCATAGTTCCGGTCCCTAAGAAACCACACACAACCACAACAAATGACTTCAGGCCATTGGCACTCACGCCGGTGGCCATGAAGTGTCTAGAGAAGCTGGTTCTACATTCCATCAACTCTGTGGTTCCAGACACCGTAGACCCCCTACTGTTTGCTTACCACACCAACAGATCAGTGGACGATGCGGTGGCCCTGGCACTCCACTCCACACTGGAACATCTGGACACTAACAACACATACGCACACCTCCTCTTCTTGGATTACAGCTCCACCTTTAACACCATTAGGCCAATGAAGCTGACTGGGAAGCTGGCAGAACTTGGAGTCCCTACACCCATCTGCAACTGGATCCTGGACTTCCTCATAGACAGACCACAGGTGGTGAGGATAGGAAAAAAGGTTTCTGCTGAGCTAACAGTCAGCACAGGAACCCCCCAGGGCTGCTGCCTTAGCCCAAAACTTTTCTCACTGTACACATATGACTGTGTCTCCCCCCAGGACAATAACAGCATCATTAAATATGCAGACGACACGACCATCCATGGCCTCATCAGAGGGAGGGATGAGTCCTCTTACGGGGAACTGGTCCACAAAGTCACTGTCTATGACCGACCTTGTTCTCAACAAGACAAAAGAGTTAATTTTGGACTTCAGGAGGAAGTGTTCTATATTAACCTTAAAAAAGAAGAAAAAAAAAAAGAAGTTGAGGGACAAGAAAACATATTTATATATTAATTTCATTGTACAGTGTTTCCCTTTGTAATTTTTTGTATTTTTATATCTTTGCTTTAATACAGTGTAGCTTCTGTCCAGTTTTTTGTAATTTACATAGCTGTTACTACAACTTTTTTTTTTTTTGTTTTTTTATAATGCTATCCTATTTTATATTTACTTGTATAACTTTCTTTTTTGTAGAAGCTGACACAGGGAGAAACGCACAAAAATTCCATTGTACCTGTATCTGTGCAAATGGCAATAAACATCTATTCTATACTATTCTATTCTTTTGCCGGGCTTTGATTTTGAAGTGTTTACTTTCAATCCAGTGTCACATGGGTCCATGGACTCTTTTCTTGTTTACGGTAAAGGCGCTGATAAATACGCAGCAAAAATCAAACACGGGCTGACTCGACAGCAGTGAGTTCCAGGACTCTTTCCATGAACTCTGCATTGTTCACCTTTAAAGTTGACACTTCTTGGCTTGTGTGTCTGAAGCTGGACTTTGTAGTCCTTTATTTGTGCCGCATTGAACTTAACTGCTTTAGCTATGTTAGCTAGCATAACTGAGTGTTGCTGTATCTGTGTACCTAGGGTTGCCACCCTTGAACTCAGCATCATTCCGCCCGCATTCAGCCGACTAGTTCCCGCCTGCTCAGAGCGTGGACCGTTGGTTTGTTTGGTTCTTTTTTGGCATGAGCAATGAGAGCTATTTAGTGATTGGGTGAGAGAAAGTCATAGGCGTCAGAAGGAAACATATCTGCAGGTGTCTCTGATACCCGTTGAAACGTGAACGAATGCAGAAATACAGACGTGAGTAGAAAGTAATGCCTGGCTTGACAGTGTCAGTGAAAATAAATATAATGTAAAGGAAACTATTGTAGGCCTACCTAATATATTTTCTCCAATGTTTATAGATAGGTTATTCCAGTGTAGTTTGGATAGTGTGATAATTTTTCAGAACATAAAACAATAAGATGACATTTATTTTAGCCAAATCTGTATTCACACTATGGCCTTGGCGAGATATCATCAATACAACATCAATATATCGACAATAGACACTTAATTAATACAATAAGAAAATAGTTCAAAACCATATTAATAGTATCATTCATAATTTCATGAGAAAACAACAAAAATGACAGACAGAAGGACAGAATAAATGAATAAAAATACTATTAAATTTGTACTGTTTATTTAATTAAGTCTGTCATCTTATTGCTCCCTCTATGTTACAGCAGTGTCAAAAGCACTTCAATAATACTCTGTTAATGAATTAATGTCAAGTTATAACTTTATTTGAAGATTAAGTTAAGTTGTAAATTGAATAGGCCTAGCTAGTAGTAAGCATCTGCTGAAGTCGTGTTAGGTGCATTTAATTGTGCATACATTACTGTATGCCTTTACACTGAAGTTTTGTGTTTGTTTTTGTGTGTAAAGGTGTTAATAAAGCACTTAAAACTTTAAGTATGACTCTTAATACTTAATTAAAACAACGTTTTAAATCCTGATTCACCACAACTGGTGCCCCACCCCACCGTTGGGCAGGTGGTCAGGCCCCTGCTGAGTTGCACCCCGCTGCGGGGTGTCCTTTATTTTTCTGCTTGGAAGGTGGCAACCCTATGTGTACCTAGCGTGACCACTTTTCCAGTTAGCTGTTTTATTGCGTTCAGGACTTCGTTCATTCCTTCCCTACCTTCCTCTGAGCCAGTGTCCTTCTTTTTAGTTGCTGGTGGGTTCTTCGCTGCTGAGAAAGGGTCTTTTCTTCTGTAGCTCTCGGTAGAGACCTCCATCTTAACATCATCGTGATCGTCAATCTCCGAGCTACTGCGGGCTGAAGAGAGCTTCTTTTCCGTCGTCATGCTGCAGTTTCCGGAGCACTTTATGGTTAAAGCGTCGGTATGGTGTATTAGAGATTCATACGATCACATAGAATTGAGTTGGAAGGTAAAGTATTTGTAAAAGTGAGACAAGCAGACGGAGCTCACAAGATACGCTGAACCCGGTCATCCATCTTCTTCTTCGTCTTCTTCTACTCTGAATTTCCGGCAGGCTGTACACTGTAGAGTGTAATGCTGCCCTCCACAGTCCAGCAGTTTGTACTTCATTCATATCTTGTGATACAGGCCAGTAGCATGTAAGAATCTAAGAACTGCGCCCCCAACAGATTGAAAGTTTGTATAGAAAATATAGACTTAAAGGAGAAAGATGAGAGTCCCAGGTCAGATAACTCCCTGAATAACGGACGTCTTTCATTCCTATATTTAAAACAAAGACAACATGACGGACTGTTTCCTCCTTTCCACAGTGACACAGACCATCAGGGTGTTTACTGATGACCTTTAAATAACTGGCCAGACCACAATCTCATACAATCCCATTAAAAACCTATTTTTCAAGGGAGACCTGGCCAAAACAGACAGCAGCAAAAACACAAAGTTACAGATGGACATACAAAGTACAATTTACAAAACACTAAATTTTGGATTAAAATAGAACTTATATCTGGGAGTCAGTTGTTCAAACAGTCGAGCTAAAACATCGACATCCTAAAGAATCTGCTTCCATGTCTTCCATTTTAGATTTAAAAACATTTAAGGACACCAGCTCCTTGAGCTTTAAGCATAGACTGTAAATATTACTGGACGAACCCTGACCCGTCTGTGACATAGGCAGAAAATGAGTCCAATCGACGGCCGCATCCATATTGGATTTGCAGTTTCAACCTAACGACAGCAGTAAGGTGGGACCGGCGGGACTTAACTCCGCCCATTCAGCTCGACGTTAGCAGTCCACTTGACAGCATAGCTAACAGCTAGGCTGCTATCATCAACTATTCCTGCTCGTCCTGAGAAAACTCTACAAACAGTAAGTTAACATTTAACTTTTCTACAACACAGTTAAAACTAATTATATTCAACACAAATATTTAATTAAAGTCTTAAAACTACACTTTTTTAAAAATACAATCATGGTTATTAGTTATTTGTCAGAGCAGTTAGACTTTGTCAGTGTTAGCAGAGAAATACATTAGCAAAGTTTTATCCATAAACTGTAAATAAATATGAGACATCCAGAAGAAATCAATATTACAAAGCATACAGTTCATGTTACTGTTCTGACAAAAAGAGGAATGTCTGTGTCTTATATTTACTGATGTCAACAGCGATGAGGTGAACATGACAATTGAAAAATAATTATTTAGTATTTATTATAAGACATTTGTTTTCTATTGAACCCGTGAAGTCATGGAGTCTGTGGACAGTGTCAGCTTCACACCAAAAACTTTAAGTATTAGAAAAAATAGTGTTTAAGACTGGTATCTATTATTATGAGTTGCAGCTACCTTGTTCAATATTATTCCTGCAGATGTGGCTCATAACAAAAAAACAGCCTGAGCTGTCACATGTAGTTAACTGTACATTTTGTCTTGTCTGAGGCATTAATTGAACACCTTTGTATTTCTCCTATAGACACAGTGTGGATTATTGGTGACTGGTCCATCGAGGTGCCCAGAGAGCTGCAGAGACAGAGGAAGAAACCTGAGCCTCAACAACATCTGTATTTGTTGGTTCTTCTGGGGTGGACTTCAGTTGCTTCTCTTCAACAGCTCGCTGTGAGGGAGGTCTCCCCCGGATGGCCTGAGTGATGTCACCCACAGGCTGAGAGCTGGAGCTGAGACGGGTTTTAAGCCTCTTGACAAACCGTTACACTGCGCCCGCCTGTCAAGCTGGTCAGCTACACGCCTTATTGTGAATAACTCTTATCCTTCATCAAATCAAAACTGATGAGTCATCAAAACATTCACCCCCCGTACAGTGTGTGTCCATCGAGACATGAGCTAATCACACCTATTTGTTTGTTTTGTACCAAGCTGTAAACATGTTCATCTCTGCTGTAAAAACAGATTTTTTTTAATGTTGTTTTTCAGATTAAATAAATATTTCTATATAAATGCACTCCTTTATGTCTACTTATGAGTATACATTTCAGATTTGAAATGACAAGACTAAAATGTGCATTAATGCTCAACTCAATAGCTAAGGGAAGGAAGTCTACTTTTACACAACTTCTTATTCTTTCGACATTTTTTTTTACCAAATACTAATGTAGTTCATTTCTCAAAATGGGATGGAACAGAGTCATTGCAAAATATGCCCTTAAACACAGCCCCATTCTTAAATCAAGATACATGGAGAGTAAATAAGATCAATAACTTGTGAATAAAAACACAGTTAAAAATGATTTAGAAATGTAGTCTTCCCAGATCAATATCACATAATATCAACTTCTCCCATCTAAACTGGACAAAGGGTTTTAAAATGGGAAGAAAATAGTTTGATTGCAAGTTGTTTGGAGGAGATCTATTTTATTTGAACAGCATGAATACAGTCTTCCAAGGTGCAAACCCTCCTCCTCCTGAAGCTGTGGAGCTCCTTCATGTACTGCTGTCTTATCTGCTGGCTATCTTCTCTCACCAGAACTTCGACTGTTGAAATGTCATTCAGAAGAAGCTCGAGCATGTGACATGGATCCAGGAGAACATGGACTTTTAGTGAGGGGTCTTCAGGATGGCAAAGAAAGAGAGAAAATATCAGTTATTCATTAAATCAATTTTTTTGTTCTCATCTATTTTTCTGTATTCATCTGTGTGTAAGAGCACATTTATAAATTCAACAGTATACTACCCAGACAACAAAGGTACAGTATTCAGGTAATCAACATCTATTCAAAGTTAAGAAGATAAACATTATTGTAATCATGCTGTTTTCAGCTCTCTCACTCACACAATGATATTCCACATCAAATTGTCTCAGATTTTGTCAGGAAAAATTAAGCAGTTTATAGTGGATAGTACTTCATCTTAACATGAAACAAATATTACCTGAATTATTTAAATCATTAACAGGTCCCAACTCTCTGTGCTTTAGTACAGAACATACAGTAACTCATTTATTATTAACATGAGCTCAGTACATGGCTGTATTCTTCAAACTATTTCTTATACTTTATATCTATGTGCTTTATATCTTATTTTCATTCCATATGTTATTTATATTTTATATTTCTACTGCTATATTCTGTGTATGAGTTCAGTGAAAATTAATATGGTTATTAATATAGTTCTTAATGGTTACAGATGCTCTTACAAAGTGCATTTTTTTAATTTGTTAACAGTTTGTACAAATCTTAAGACACTACATCAACCATGTAACTTTAATGTCATCCTCTATAACCTACACAGCACATTAGGTTCAGTTCAGTTTATGTTACTGACGGATAATTACTACACAAAGTTTGTTTTTTAATGTCCACATTTACGTGGAGTATAACATTCATCATAACGTCAGATAACCACCGAGGTGAACCTTTAGCTTCTAACATCACACAAACTCATTATTTTCAACAACAACATCTTAACAACAAACATTTCTAAACCATTGACCGTAAATAATGTAAATAATGTAAATAATGAGCTATACAGTTAGCCGACTGGTTTACAAGCTAATGCTAAACAAGCTAGGTCCGTAAATATAAATACCAACACATGAGTAAGCAGTAAATATAACACTACTATATCACTTACCGATAAAAACTGAAGCATCAACTTGTTGGATGGTCTGTTAACCACACAGCAAGCCATGTATGTTGTCAGATATGTGTTAAACAAACTCTTCAAACGAAGTAAAAAAAGAGGAGAAATCAGACGGATCAAGCTGTTAGCCTCCTGACCTGACTGACCAGCAGCAGAGCTGTCAATCAAATCTGACACACCAAATATGGGCATAGCCGTTTTCCTTAATAGAATAAAATCCGATCACCCCCCCCCCCACAGTGTGAGGAGAAGGGGCCGTCAATTTATCAGATATATCTCGTTTTTTGAACCAGGCTGTAAACATGTTGATTCCTGTGGTAAAAACTGGCTTTTTTGGCTGTGGGCTTATGGCACTTCTGGCGCTTCTGCAGCCAGCCTCAAGCGGACACTCGACGAACTGCAGTTTTTTGTACTTCCGCATAGGCTTCATTTTTCGAGACCGGAGGTTGCCCCTTGGCTTTTAAGTCATTCTGCAACAGATTCCAGGCTGAGGGTGCAGAATACCCAAAAGCCCTTTTAAAATTTCTGCCTGAGCGTTTTGGGCAGTGGCCGCGCACTGTAGCTGTTCCCACTCAACGTTCTTGAAGCCAAAATACGCCGCTTAAGGGCGCTTCCATCTTGTGATTTTGACGTCATTTGGAGCCAGAGTCTGCGCAGTAGGGTCAACAGTAAATCAATTGTTTTTTGTATCTTCATTTAGGCAAAGAAGAGATAAAAGCAGCTGGTCTGACATCTTCCACAGAGGTGAAGTGTAAGTTAAAATCATCTGTTAAAAGTTATATATCCTGTGATTGTTTTTAAGTTTCATAAAGAGGATTGTCAAAACAAAATTAAAAATAACACCGAGTCATACACCAGATATATGTTAAATAGAAAGGTGATGTTGTCTTTTCCATTTTACAATCAACAGAACCTAAAAATGACTCATTTCAACCTTCATCTGCACACCTGTTACAGTGGTCAGGCTGGGGTCGCTTAGTTTGAAGGAACCTCCTCCTTCTTTCACCTGTGCTTGGACTAAGCGCTGTGCCAGATGCCCTGCTCATCCACTGTGGTAGAAATGACCTTACACCAGCAGCTCTCCAGATGAGGAGTCCTCTCTGCCATCACCCAGAGGAGCTGATCGACGTCTGAAGAAGGTGGACAGAGTCTGGTGCTTTGTGACAGTGAACAGTGAGAAGGCTACCATAGTCATCCTCAGATAAAACACAGAGATCCATATTTAATTTATTTTTCTTAACATGATGTTGCCCTGTGTTTGAAAGGCCAGATGCTGGAGGGTTGTGTTGGATTTGCTTTTCCATCATGGTTTAACAGTCAAACAATCATCCAGGATCTCTATACTTTATTTGATTTTTGTTTGGATTTCTTTGTCAAATTATTTTTTATACTTTCTCCTATGTCCCAGCAATTGGACC